CAAACTCACAAGAGACAAACTATCCATTCAATATAGGGCCAGAAAATTAGCCTGTTTTCTACCACCCAGGCTACATCCTATCCCACATCTACACACTGGGAAGTCAGATTTTTCATCAAAGTGATTCTGGGTTTTAACAGATTCAGAGCAAAGGGAATTGGTACTCCCAGGATATTGGTGGCCAGGGTTTTGGGTGTTGATTATACATAATCTGCTACTTACTAACTTTGACCTTGAGCAAGTCTTGTCTGATAAGTGCCTCAGTTCTCCCATCTAGACAAATGAGGAAAATGACAGTACTTCTTCCTTCATGAAGTTTTGAGGAGGACATGAGTTAACAAATGATGTTACCAGCGTAATGCAGGATATCAAGTGCTTGCCATGATGCTTAGTATGTAATGAAAGCTTTTCTGTGCCTATTTACTTAAATTGTAAGAACCATTCAGCAGAAATGAAGAAAACTCACTCTCTATGCCTATTTCCCTTTATTCAAATGTGCTGAGTTCATTGGAAAGATGTTTGTCACTATTTGTTACAAAGTGGCAAGGTAAAACAGCAGACATGAGTATGTCAATATGTAAATCAATGGAAGTGTAACTGATGTGATTCTGCAATCTGTATACGGGGTAAAAATGGGAGTTCATAACCCACTTGAAACAAAGTGTGAAATATGATATATCAAGAACTATGTAATGTTTTGAACAATCAACAATAAAAAAAAAAGATCTAATATCTTCAAGGCTGGTAGTCTAAATTAAAAAAAAAATTGTGTAGAACTTTCCTGCTCAACTTCAATATTAAATTAATTTCAAGGGATTACATTGCTCATACTCCTTAATTGGGTCATCTGGACTTCACCATTGTTCTCTCATCTTTTATTGAAAATCATTTGTTTAAGGATTGGTGCAAGGTGTTTTATAAATGAAGTTAGACAAGGGCTTTAGTACATCCTATAAATTGGATTCTGTATACTTGTAAATTATGCTGACAGGGACTCTTATAACACAATGAGGTCAGAACAGTCTCACTAAAAAAATGGCCCTTTCATGCTGTACCCAAGCCAAAAAAGGGGAAAGGAGAATAAAGGTACCGAGTTGTAATGAAGAAAGAAGTTGTTAAATTCAATCCCAGCCATGGTTACTTTTCCTTGTATCTTAGTTGAACTAGGTGATACAAATTATTAAAACATAAGGCAATGGAATCTTAATTAAAAATATGAAGAACTGACTATATGAAGATATTGTATGTTACATGCTGTAAAGTCTAAGAAAATTATTGAGATACAATTCATGATTTTTAGAGAGTTGGCAGTTTAAAAGAGGGACCAAAATATGCATGCAATTAACTAAATGAAACAAAACAGACTTTAAATGCCATGAGTCATAGATAAAGTTTAGCCTGAAAGAACATAGCTGGATTGCATTAGTTCTAAAGACTAGATCAATTCATTTAACTGCTATTTATGGAGTACCTGCTACATGCCAGGTCATGAGGCATGGCCCTTTCCACAAGGAATGCTCATATTTATAAACCCAATTCTTGACAGATCTTCAAGTTTCAGAGTAGAGAGTGGAAACAGCTTCAACTTTAGCATTTGAAAAACATGAATTATAACCTTCCCCAACCGATTATACATTAGGTGATTTCAGCAAATAATTTTCATCTCTTAGCTTATTTCAGAAATAGGTACCACCTTTGAATTTCTTGTATAATCTCATTCTATGCATTGATGGATAGATTTATCCTTAAATACAATGCATGTTGAACACATCCCATTTTCTCCATTCCCACACTCCCATTCTTAATGCTGGTAACATCATTTGTTATGGATTCTGTAATCCAAGTAGTTCCTTCTCATCACCCAAGAAATGTAAGTCATTTCTTAAGGTGATTAAGACCTTCAAAAAACTGAATTCTGTTTGGTTTTTAACCTCACATGATGCTCTTTCACCATATATACCTGTTGCTCCTCACCATCAACCCTTGTGTACCTCTGTACCTTTGCACATAATATCTTTAATGCCAAAGCCTGATATTTTATCCCCATCCTCAATCCACCAAAAACAAAAACAAAACAAAAACAAAAAACCTGAAAAACTTTAAAATTTTACTCTTCCTTCAAAACTTTGCTCGAACTGTATTCCCAGCTGCTCAGGAGGCTGAAGCAAGAGGATTGCAAGTTGAAAGCCAGTCTCAGCAACTTAGAGATTCCATCTCAAAATACAATATCAAAAGGGCTGGGGATGGAACTCAGTGGTTAAGCGCCCCTGTGTTCAATCCCTGGTGCCAAACAACTCCGCCAAACAACTCCACCAAACAAAACCAAAACAAACAAATAAAAAAACAGGTTCTTTATGGAAAGTACAATCAAATTGTACAACCAAATGATAATTGATTAGTATATAAAGCATATGATCTTGATCCTGCTCTGTACTTTCTTTCCAGCAGTTCTAAGAAGACAGCAGTTCTTTCCAGACTGAGTAATTTATTTAGAAAATAAGACCTAAAGGTAGCTTTGCAGGAAATATCTACTTCTGGATTGTGATTTATAAGTCCCTCAGCTGAAAAAAGCTGCCAGACTTGACCCCGTACTTTTGCTCACCACCCACTTCCCAAGGATAATTCTCCTATAAAAACTTGGCATGCCTAGGAAAACTCAAATTACCCTGTGAAAAAGAATTGAAAAAATTTCTGAAGCTCAATTATTTTCTCTGGATGAAATTCAAACTTCTGCTTACTCCTTGTTTTTCTGTTTCTTTGTTAATCATTATCTCTTCTTTCTTCTGCTCTCCATTTTATGGGTTGGGTGGTCTAGAAGAGGGTGGCTGACTTTGTGCTAGCCTGAGTGCGTTCTTGCTCTGCCCAAGTGGATCTCACTGCCCATCTGCATTCTTAGGTTGTGAGTCAATCCTTAAGACAGCAAGCACAACTCTTTTACTTTATCAGTAGAGTCAGCATATTTTACATAATTCTATGTGCACAATGCCTCCATTATTTGTATATATGCCAATTGTCCCAACAAGACTGAACTCCTGAGGAGAAAGACAAGCCTTTTGCCTTTGAATTCTCAGTTCTTACATGTTGTCTGCCATGGAGAGGAAGAGCAAGAAATACCATAGCAATGATCTCAGATTTAAGGATAAGTGTAAAGAACCAGGAAAATGCTTTGTGGGGGAGGTGGCATTTGATGTAGGCTTTGAAAGCCTTTGAAAATATTTCAGAAATTTTAGATATGTAATTTTGGGATGTTCATGTTTTAATATACATAAATGGTTATGTGTATCTTTATGATTCTCTTCTTAATACATAGGCATTTTACTAGATGAAGCTTTGTCTATTCTATCCAAGACCCTTTGTGCCATGCTCTGAGCATGGTGAAAACTTGGTGATTATATTAATTATTTGTAAAGAATGCTCCTCCTTAGGTCTTCTAGAGGAGACTGACTCTGCTTTCAGAATGATGGCAGACTGATTTTTCCAGTTATATCAAAATTACTTGACTTTAAAGCTGGGTCATAGATGGTTATTCTCCATGGTTATTAACAATCATGTTATTCTTATAACAAGTGTTGGTAGTCACTCTGTATTTAATAACTCCTGAGAATATTAAAAAATATATCAAAGTATACCTTTGAACCACAGTGGAAAGCATGTTTTAACCCTGGGAACCTCACTGATATTTGATTAATTCTCGGGCAGATGACCTAAGTTTAACTGTGAAAGTAACAGCTAGGACATTTTCTTCATCTCAAATCGTGTCCATTTCAGGTTATCAGTGAGGGGTTAGGCTCCTTAGTTCATCTGGCAGATTTCTTATATCTGAATTATTAATTGGCATTAAAAATACTTTCTGAAATATTCTACTCTAATCCTAACTATTGCATGTTGTCACCTATCACTTAAAATACAGAAGAAAAGGTGGGTCACCAATAAAGAAATTATGAGTCACAGAAATCCAGAATAGTGGAGACAGAAAGAATCTATACCAGTGTAGTCTGCTAAGAAAAATGATTCCCATTAATATAAATATTCATATTTATTAATGTAAGTGTTATAATTTTGGCAGCAAATAATCATAATGGTGAGGAAACCAGGAAAATCAACACTGGGGCGTCAGTGTTTTATTTCACAAGAAAGAGACCTCTGTGAAGAAACCTGTGTTGTCTGTAGATCTTCAACTCGGAAATCCCTGCATAATAAGAAAGGTACTGGCTACATTTAAGGAGACACAATGTATCCAGAGTGAACATTATTAAGGGAAAGAGTGTAGCGTATGGGATGTAGCTAGAGATATAGATTTGAAAGGGAGGGCTGGCTGGCTTTGATCTTTTTTTGCCCTGTCAGAGCCTGAAGCAGCTTTGTTTCCAGCCTTTGGGGTCAGCACTTTGGGGAGTTTTTAACCGGTTCTCAGCTTGCATTCACCCGTTGACTTGCTCCAGGCAAGCCAGGTTTTTGTTTTTGGCATTTTAAGGAAAGCAACTTCGTTTTCGAGGCAAACGCTTCGACCCACGCACCTGCTCACTTCTATGCCCTTCTTGGACCCTGAGTTAGTACAGGCAAAGCACAGGTGCCTGGGAGAGGCCCCCAAAAGGACAGTGGGGACAATCCCCTTCCGAACTGCAATTGTAGCTGCCAAGGAGTAGCCAACAAGGACCAGATTTATGTGCACTTTGAAAGAAGCACCTTCACCATTGGCTTTTTGAGAGGCGCTGTCGCTAGGGAGCGGCTGGTAGGGCGAGCCCAGCTTCTGGGAGAAGCCCGGGCTGTTTGTTCCTGTAACCTGGGAGAGGGGCGCACACAGTCGCGAGTCCCTGTACGCACACTCCCGCTCGCCGCCCCTGGGCGCCCGCTGGGAGGAGCAGCCTCGCCGCGATCGCCTCCCACCCCCTGATTCCTGCTGCTGCCGCCCAGAGGAGAGACGAGCCTCTGCCTCGAATTTCCCCTCGGCGCTGGCGCTGCGGAGATTCGCGCGGGTGGGCGTGAGGAAGAGAACCCGCTGAATGAGTTCTCCCCTCGCCTTGGAGTTGTCTGAGTTGGCCGCACAGCGCCCGGGTTTCCGGCACTCAGCGCCCCACTACCTCGCCTTACCCGGGGCTGCTGCCCACGCCCGCGCCGAGGGTGGCACCAGCCGCGCCAGGGTTGCTGAGGCTCCTAAGCTCCTGTCCCGGCCCCATTTCGGGGCAAAGGAGGGTTGTCCCCCACGGAGACGCACAGTCGCGCGGTCTTCTCTCCGATTCAGCGTGTCCATGGCGTCTCATCAGCAAACCCGAATCCAGGCTTACCTAGAGAAGAACAAGATCGGTCCTCTGTTTGAGGTAAGGCAATGTGGAGGAAGATAGTTCCGCTGTCTTTGGGGGGAAGGGGTGTAGAAACAACCAGAATACCCCCCAAGGGAAAGAGAGTGGGAGAACGCGCGCGGGAAAGGGCTCCCTGTAGCCTCAGTTCACTGGCTAGTTCTGCTCAGCCCAGGTGTCCTGGAACGCAGCCCCGCGGGCACTTCGCCAGTTACCTGGACGCGGACAGGTAGGCTCCATAGCGCCCAGCATCTGCCTGACTTGTCCTGCGCCTGGTGGCCACGTGTGTGGGACCCGGACAAATTGAGAGAGGTGATAGGCACAGATGCACACACTCAGACTACCTTACACATGCACACTTTCTTCCTGGAATTCACACTATCTTGCCTGTTGGATTTTCTTTTTAAAAATGTGGGCGGTAGTGGAACCCGAAAAGGTGGAGGAGGTGCTTAACAGTGGGAAGGAATATGGTTAACTGGAAGAAAGCTTAACTGGCAAGGGATAGGTTTCAGTAGGTGCGGGTTTGTTGAGTCAATCTGGCAAACTGGGAGACTGATACCCATCACTGGCTGAAAGAGGAGCCCTTTGCATTGCAGTCTACCTGCATTAGGGGGAGAAAGACACGGAGAAAGGTTTTGGAAAAAGCCCTCGCTTATTCATGGGAAACAACTATAGCTCTGAGCTGTTTTCTTTCGCCATCAAAGAATCAATGACAAAAACACAGTGGGAGAAAAAAAGAGCGGGAGGACGAAAAAAAATGAGAACCAGGGACAAACCTAGCATCAAGCACAGCGTCTCGCTGGTTGCCAGGGCGCTGGGCAGGGGTGGGGCAGGCATGTGGGGCAGGTAGATGGGCAGGTGCTGAGGCCCAATGGGGAGAGACGCCAAAGGTTCCTTCTCCTCCTATCTTGGTTCAGCTGTTCAGCTGGGGCATTCAGGGTGGAGAGAGACCTAGGAGAGACAGGGTGTCCCCGGTGGCCCCCACCCTCAGAGACAACTGTAACCTTTGGGGGGGGGGGTGTGCCTCAGTGACTGAGCCAGACACAATGGGGAAGAGGGTGCACTGGAGGTAGCAGAAAATGGAGCAGTTTTTCCGGGACTGAAGAGAAAGGAAAGAGATCTGTTGAGAGAGAGAAAAAAAAAAAAATTAAAAAGGGGGTGTGTGTGTGTGTGTGTGTGTGTGTGTGTGTGTGGTGCGAATTAATGCCCCCGCGCACAAAAAGGGAGAGGAGGGCACTGGTGTGGTCAAATAGGTCTTTTCCCTAAGAAGGATCGATGTTATTTCATTTTATTTATTTATTTTGAGGATCGATTTTAAATAACCAAGGTTTGCAAGGTTTGCAAGGTTTGCAAGATCTCGGAAGTTTTCCTCCCAACTTTAAGTTAATGTTGTAGTGTCTCCAAAGATATGATCATTGTTTCAACAGAAGCTCTCTGAAAGGGGTCACCAAGCCCTACGATTTTTGTTTCTGACAAAAGCATTAGCAAAGGAAGTCTTTCTGTTAAAAGGGGTAGCAAAATAGACTTTCTGAAGCTAATAGAATTTTTTTTTTGTCGTTAGTGATTACTGACAGTCCATAAATCCCATATAGCAAGAACAAAAAAGGTAGAAGCAAAACATAATAACCCTTTGCAATAGTATATTAACTGAGCTAAAAGAATCACAAATACATTTAGAGTGTCTATTTGCTGGCTGCTTTCCTAGAATATAAAGCACAATTAGCGATGGAAAAATAAATGAATTGTTTTTAATAGATTCTGTTCTCATTTAACTAATTTAAAAATTCCCAAGATTCTTTCCAAGTAATAAAAATGGTATTTGGAATATAGGTAAACTTTCTACATAATTATGAAATAAGCCCAATTTGATATTTACCCAGTGCTCCCTCTTTTAAATACTCACCAGTTTAATTTGCACTGAATAGTTTTAAATGCTATCAAAATTGTCTCATAAAAGCTTTAGGTCTCCTCACCAAAAAAAAAAAAAAAAAAAAAAACATGCTTTGTATTTTACTGAGTACATATTACATAAGCTTGGAACCCATTAGCATGGATCGCAGTGATGAGTAGTTAATTTTTAAGGGTTGATGTGCACTTTATATAATTGAAGGGGAAAATGCACAAGTTCTATTCTACTAAAAGCAGGTTGGGACACAGATCCTCAGGCAACAGTTTTCATCATGATAGCTTGGTTTTGAGAGTAGAATTATACGTTGAAAAATCTGAACATCTCACTAACTTGTAGACTATTTTCCTTCATGCTAGAAAACTGGTAAAGAGATACCACCCATGAAGGGCACATTGTTGGTCTAATTCCCAGGATCTCACTCATTGGTTCCATAACTGATTCAGTAGGTCAGAGGAGGTGCCCGGGAATCTGAGTTTACTAAGAAGCAGCACAAAGGATTATTGCAATTTTAATTCCTGAGGCACATTTTAAGAGACAATGACAGAAGCTAAAATCTCCTTTGGCCAATCACAAATTGAATTAAGCACTTCCTAATTTTATCACCAGTACTTTGTTGTTGTTATTTGTGGTATTGAGGCACTGTGGCTGATGACACAGACTTCCTTCATAGTTTTGAAAATATGCAGATGGTATGTCCCTTTGTAGATTTTATAAGTTAGGAATGTTTTAAGAAAAATTTTTGGAGTGAGACACTTTAAAGAGAATGTATGAAGACTATTTAAAACAATAACAAAGATAACCTTCATACTGTATTTAAAATAACTCAATTTTTTTTAACCTATAAGGTTTATTGGCTTAGTTTGGTTAGTTTCTTAGTTTATTTCTAATATCTTATCATTTGAGAAACTTATAATAGTGTTGAATGCAATATGGTGTTCCAAAAATGACTTGAGTTGAAATTAATTTTGTTTCCAAGTGATTTAGGAGCATAAATTTATACTATACTTTGGATGTGATCAAAGATTTTTTTAGTATAATATTTTTATTAGAGTTTTATAGTTATACACAGTAGATGAGTTCGTCCTAAAATCAAATGTATGGAATTCGACTTTAGTTCATAACTCTCCCCGTCAAAGATGTTTTGAGGCTTTAAAAACCATGCCTAAAAATCATTGAGAGGGCTGGGGTTATAGCTCAGTGGTAGAGCGCTTGCTTTGCACATGTGAGGCCCTGGGTTCAATCCTCAGCACCACATAAAAATAAATAAAATAAATGATATTGTGCCCATCTTAAAAAATAATTGAGAGTGCTCATTAATGATGTTTTAATTCAATAAAAATATGTAAGGTGAAAATTGCATTCCACAAACTCTTTGAAATTTTTGTAAGGTATAATAATTTTACTGGTCTTACTGGCTTTATTGGGGCAGGTAAGCAGGGAACACTTTGGGAATAAGTCTATAAAGAATGCTTGACTTTGCTAGTCCTACTTACTTTGTTTACTTAGATAACAGGCAGGTGTAAGTGATTTGGATAGGACCAAAATATAGTATTTTTGTAACATACATGAGCAAGATGCATAGTGTAAATACAAAACTTGTCTCAAAACCTGAGGCTGGCTAGTTAGTAGTCAAAGAAGTTGTCAGTCAGAAATTCTGAAGTAGAATAATTATCTGGCATATAGCCACTTAGTTGATTACAGTAGTTTGTTTACAATCTGTATTGTAAGCAGTTTGACTTAATTCCTGAGAGATTATATGATGTGGAACATCATAATGCCTTACTTTAACATAAAGTGGTAGATAATTTTAGTTTTTCCCATTCCTCTTAGATAAATACATTAATTACTTCAAGATTATGGTTTGACGGGTGTGCAAGGAGATCATATGCTTTGGTTCAGGATTGATCACACTCACAAGAGTATGAAATCCTAAACTATTAAAAAGAAGAATAATTGGAGTCTTCATAAAACTTCCAGAGAATTCTCAAGTCTCTTTATCTTGAAGACATGGCAAGCCAAACCCTCCGCACTTCTCCAAGAGTGGTCTGCCAATGGCACAGTTTTGTCATCATCTTTGTTAGTTCAGAGTTCACATGGGCTAACTTCTCATGAACTGACTGGCATGCATGTCGGGAGGAGGACTCCTGAGCATCCCTCAGCCTGCCTCCTGATACCCTTGGCTGCTGCACAGCTCACTCTTGTCTGGTTCCTGTCACGTTGGCAACCCCGATTTCATTCTGCTTCCCCCTTTACCAAGCCTATCACTTTCCTTTGTTCACCTCCCTAAATAATAGTCTGAAAAATGCCCCCTCCCTCTCCCAGAGAGCTTGTGGGATATGAGGACACTGCTTCAGTTCTCCTAGGGATCACAGTCCTGGGCTGGCTGTTGCTCAATGCCTGAAAACAAGTAAGGCATTGATTTTGGTCAGATTTATGGCTGTAGTAGGGAGGGCAGTGGCGAGGAGTATAAGAAGGACAATAGTTACTCGCTTAGGGCTGAAGGTGAAACTCAGCCTTTAGAAATATAAAAATGACATTTTAATAAATAGGAAAATGCTTTCATAGGAGAAATGATAAAATTAAAAGCTTCGAACTCGTAATGTGCTCAACTTAATGGTTTGTAAATATCTTTGGTGAAATCTCTGTTAGTGTGTCAGTCCCAAAGCCTGAAGTTGTAAAAACTTTTTCCTCTATATAAATTTGCACTCATTTTTGTAATCCCAGAGCATTTGAAGGAGCTGCAGACAAAGCCGTTCTTAATAAAATTTTGCTTAAAATTAAACATTATCATTCATTTACTTCAAAATAACCTTAAAAATAAATTTTCTTTCATTTCTGCCATAATGTATTTTATTTTTGAACAGTTTATAAAGAAAGAAAACAACTAAATATTTAATACAAAAATAAATCACCTTTAAAACAATAAAAGAGAAGCATACCAAAAGTGGCATTAATATATCTGAAAACAAATTGTCTCGGGGTCTTTTCTAAAAGAATGTGATCAGTGGAAATATGAATCTTCCTCCCTTCTTTCTTTCCTTAATTAAATTAATGAGCCATGCAAAGAGTACAGCTAAGTGGGGCAGTTGGCCTAAGAGTGTCAGGGCAAGAT